CGTCCTGGGTAGACATTTCATTCAATAAAACAGGCAGATTTGATTTATATGCAGTATAATGTTTGATGATCACATTATTTGAGATATGCATCTCCTTAAATATGCTATCACTTGTTTCTGCTTCTTTTTTGTCAGTTTTGTTCTGGAGATTCAGTACTCTTTCAGAAGATGTGTAATAGCCCTCCCTATACAGTATAAGTGTACGGGAAAAGAGTTAAAAGGGTTCAAATGCTACAGTAAGCTTCCCATCAAGCCTGAAAGCATGTTGGACTTTCCAATGCAACATGGGGTGAAATCAGTCATTCACAGTGAGGCTATCCAGTCATTTGCTGAACAGACAGTGGAGAGAATGTTAGCGTGTCTCTGTCAGTGTCTTTCTCATCTCGCTTTGCCAAATCAAGCTTATTTCCATCTCTGAAAAGAGAAGCTCGGGTATCGAGAGACCTTGTCGAGCAACACATGGGATGTAGGCGAGCAAGCTGCCGTCATATCTAAGACCCCAAAACGCATCACAAGGTGGTGAGAGCCGTTTTCAACATAGAGATCATTTCAATATTCAATGGCCTTTTCTAAAGCAAAAAAAGTGACGTGGTCGTAATCGCATTTGCCGATGACTACAGTGTACCAACACGCGTTTCCGAAGAAAAAGAAGTTGAAGCTTGAGCGAGACGAAAATAAGGTTCTCCACACTGATTCACAGGGAAGGCACATTTAACGCCTCTCTGGCAGCAGGGCTGGTGTGATCTGACGGCTTCCAAAAGCTTCGTTCCATGACCCTGTTTTTCCTAAAGCCTGTTCCAAACTAATCCCATCCTGCACCCGGAGAGCGAGGCAGATGACACCATACAAAAGAAGCCCACAAACAGTATGAAATATCAAACAGACGCACATCATGAATGAGTAATTGAGAATGACTGCGGGGCAGAGCGCATGAGGAGCATCTTGGCATGAGCGCTTCCACATACTCAGCTGCACATCTTCAAGCCAGTCAGATAGACTGCCAATGACACCTCCATCGTTCTCTGCAACTGCGACTTCGACATAAACGGAAAGAACAAACACGCAAGCACATGGAGAACGAGATTAATGCTTTATAAAGGGAAAAGTTTCCACAGTAACACGAGTGACGTGGCAGAATACGAAATCAAACGCCTGCTGGAAAGAGACGGGAGTGTGTAATACTGCAGAAAAAAAAAATATCGCCAGGGGTTGTCGGTTGTTGGTGAGGAAAGACAGGCACACATTGGGATGTTATTCAATGGCTTTAATGTGTAAAAAGTCAAACATGAATTCAGTTCGAAGTTAGATAAACTTTCATTGTTCAATTTTCATTACAATTAAAAGGTGCACTCACTCATTTTTCTTCCTCACAAAAACGGTTCACACAAAGAAATGAACAGTACACTCACATCAGATGCCTAATAAAAGCGGTTTTATGTTGAGATCACATGACCATTAAATACAGCAGTACTAATCTTGTTTTGCGGAATAAATTAATCATTGCCGACTGCAAATAACATATTGTAGCGTAACAAACAAAACTGAGTGCACCTTTAGTTAGAAATAAGACATTTTAGTAACCATAATTTAAGCATTTTCAAAAAAAGAGAGAGAATACCTTCATTTCTGATGTTAAGGTCACTTACATAACAGCATAAAGCTACCTGAATTTTTCTTCCAGCATTGATATGGTTTCAGAACATTCTTAAAAGGAGAGTAAAATGAAATCAGAAATCATTCATTATTCCAAGAAAAGTGCATACTCACTGCCGCTGTAACCAACACCACTGTTTTGGCCATTCATTTTTGGGGGGGGGGTTGGTACTATGCGTCAGTATTGGGCATGTTTGAAGATCAATGTAGCGAGAGTAAGAAAATGTATCATTGTTTGTGTTTTGTACTTCCATTGTATGGAGTATAAAAAAGTGACCATGGACAAAATGGTCTCAATGGGACTTATAACCATCCATACATCTTTTTTGACCTCATCAAACAAACCCATTGTCAATTCTTAGGCTTTGATAGAAAGGAAAATCCTACTGATTCAAACATAATGGGTTCTCATTTTATAATCATCATATAATCAATCTCTCAATCACCTTCCTATCTATTGAGGCCCTGGAAACCTCTGTCCAGTATTGAGCTCATGTCACATGTTCTCAGAGAATCACACCAATAAACCAATTCTCCCTTTGACAATGATAAGTTAGCCCATCACCTTATAGACTAAAGAAAAAAAAAATACTATAGAAAACTTCCCTCTCACCTGTATTTTAGAAAAATGTTCCTTCTTTGAACACTCTGAAAGTCACTCCAAACATGTTAAATGTCTTTAAAAATAAAACTTTTGTCTTTATTTACTCGCCTTTAAGTGTTTCAAAAATATTTCCCTTTGTGGAACATAAGAGAAATTTATAGCAGAATGTTGCAGCTGCTTTTCTTTTTTCATAAAAATTAAGTGAATGATGATTTTCAATCAATAACTACTTTACTTTTGTCCATTCTTCACAAAAAACGTTCATATGACGTATATAGTGCATAACTTGTATGGATCACTTTTATGAAACTTATAAAGTGCCTTTTTTCGGGGGAAAATATCAGCATGTACATTCTTCAAAATGACTAAACTAATCCTTTCATTAAAAAAAAAAAACTGTCTTTAAACATACAAGTAATTTCAAGACTCCAACGATAGACTGGTGCAGGAATGACATTTTTTGTCGGCCAAAATCTGGAAACGAGTAAGCATTTTAACATTTCCAGTTCCATTGTCCTGAAGTCAATGAGTTTTTTGAATATTTTTTTGTTTTGTCTAAATGCTTTAAATAAGGTCTGTGGTTAACACAATCTCAAGATATTTCATGTTTTATTCTATGATATAATATATATCAGTAATACCTTCTTGTAATGTTTTACTTGTCTTGTAAAAGGCGGTTGCTAACAAGTGTCTAAATGTGAGGAAACAGAGGTTGTCGGGACATTATCAGGTAAACTCATCTACTCGCTAGTCCACCTTCAGATTAATTCTACGAACAAAACATGTAAGGATCATAAGCTTCTGTTATTCACAGAACTTATTTTCTGCAATAATCCAAAAGTCAATGAAAAAAAATCCTTTTTTTGTTGCTAGGGAACCAGGGTGATGCTAACTTCTGGGTTGGCCTATAAAAAATAAGTAATCCCTGCACTTAATAAATAACTGAGACAAACTGACAAATTCATGACAAATGACGTTAGCCTGACAGAAACGATCATTCAGCATGAGATACTGACCCACAGATGGACAGACATTTATGGTGCTTTGTCACTGCATGGTATGGCTCGGTACGGCTCACTTTTGGGGGGGTTTCCACTGTGTATTGTTCCTGGTCATTTTTTTTAGTACCACCTCAGTTGAGGTTCCAAGGAAGCGAGCCGTAGTGATGCTAAAATGTAACATATAAACACTGCAGATCACTGATTGGTCAGAGAGAATCGTTACTACCAGCATCATTGGATTTGAGACACGAGACGTCAAACCTGCTAGATTTAAATAGCCTAGTCGGCAACAGCCACCGCAGTATAATTTGTTCACACAACTTTTTTTAAACAACTTGCTTTACACAGCCGTCACACGCAACTTGAAAAAAAGAAACGGCTGTATCATGGTCAGTAGACGAATCCCACCCACTTTGAAGCGAAACTAAACTGCTGTGGAAAAGCAAACCGAGCCAAAGTAAAGTGAGCCAAGCTGAGTTGTTCAACGCAGTGGAAAAGCACCATTATATCTTGCACTGTTTCTCTACAAGTTTAGGGGAAAATGAAGCAAAATCACAGCACTTTGACCACTACAATCTAGTATTTCAACGCATTCTCATCCCAAGGCGTCATATACTGACGCTTTTGCCAATGCGTATACATCCAACGCACATGGCACCCTTTAGCGTCAATATAACACGCTTCGGTTATGGGTAGGTTTAGGTCTGGGGTAGGGTTAGGTTTGGACCACTAGGAGGCGCTTTCTGGTCCACATATATCTGCGTCCCATATATATCTGCCTTAGGATGAGAACGGGCTGAGTATTTTCTGTGATATCCAGCTCTGTTTTGTTCCCTTCAAATGCCCAACAATCACCTACAGCAGGTAAATGACTAGAGGTAGGCTGCCATACGCTTTCAGAAACAAGTAGCAATCATGGTACATTTTTAACTGTAATTGTGTATAAAAAGTGTAACCTCGCATCACAGTCTGAGCATAGTGAGCTACTGAAATTACAGACATGTACTGTAAATATGAGATGATGTTACAACATGGAGGAAGGACATGGAGTAAAATGGAGAATTTGGCACCATCTGGTGGTTGGAAAGAGAATGGCAGGAGTAGCACTGCCATCTCAATACTCAGCCGAAAATAAACACACTACTAAGCTGCCAAGAGGCCCTAAGTTACATCAGGTATCAAATCACAGAGGGGGAGAATTTTAAAATGCTAGAAGCAGGAAAATGTCAAGTCGAAAAACTCTAATTGAAGCTACTTTGTAGAATAGCAGGGGAGGATAAGACACCAGCAGATGGAGCTGGCAGCACTGACTGTTTCAAATAACTCAAATTACCTTCCTATAAAATTAAATGATAAATACAGTGTTTGTCTTTGCAGAGACATGGATGTGTTCAGTGACAATGTCTATTTGCACAAAAGTTTGGGGTGTGTAAGATTTTGTTTTGTTTTTGAAGTCTCTTCTGCTCACTAAGGTTGCATTTATTTGATCTAAAATACAGTAATATTGTGAAATATTATTAAAATAACTGTTTTCTATTTGTTTATTATTACATTAGCAATTTAATGCACCCTTGCTGAAAAAATATTATTTTCTTTTTATATTTTGTTTTATTACTCAGCGTATGTATACACGTGTTATTTAATTCATGAATCCAAAACTCTTTTGAAATTTCAGAGAACACTCATTGGCACGAAAATGGTCACTCTCTTCAGGTTTCAAGATTAAAAACTGAACGACTCTATTATAAGTGATGAATTTTAATACTCAGAAATGTTCAAATCTAATTCATTAATCACAGTCTGTACTGTGCACCTCTTGTAACAGGAAGGCACTATCAATCCTAAGTGGAGGAATTGGAATGATCAATAAACTGCTGTGGAGTTGGAGCAGCTGATATGAAAAGTGTAGAGAGAACCTTTGCTATGTCCTCTCTTCGAAGAACCACTTCTGGGAGTCCGAGTCCGAGCAGGGGCGGAGAGCGGGGCCAGGGTTCCCATTGTCAGTCCTGTCCACTGCCTCAATGCATTTCTGTGTCTGAACGTGGTAGAGAGAGCCATCCTGCAAATGCAAAGATTATGATAAGACTTAGATTGTCTTAGACTGATTTTAATACTTTAAGTCAGGGGTTTGTTCGAATACTATAAAAGCCTCAGGCCCACTAGAACAGGAAGCTCGGGAACCCCTAGCATTTCATTTGCTCCCAGCTCTAATTCCCCACAGTCTAGTGAGAAACCTGCTGTCGTCACGCTGCTCTTCAGGTGCTCGCTGTACTGGCGAGAGTTCACACTAAGGCTTGCTTGTGAAATGACACCGCAAGCCACACTGAAACCTCTTGCTGTCCGTGACTTTCTCAAGTAACGCTTTAATGTGACATTTACTTGGCCCGTTATTTGCTTGGAAGGACACCTGAAGTGCTGTGTACAATTCTTGTCCTGAATACCAACCAAACCACATAGTAATGCCTGTCAATTTAAAACTAATGCATTTATATATATATATATATATATATATATATATATATATATATATATATGAATGCATTAGTTTTAAATTGACAGGGGTTACCATGTGGTTTGGTAACTACAAAAAAAGGCAATTAAGTGAAATAACTTAAATATACAAGCTTGATAAAAATTATTATTCTAAAAGAAAATTTCAAATGGCACTCTTCATATATATATATATATATATATATATATATATAATTATAAAGCAACCATCATGAGTCGAATGTTAATTGCCGATGACTAAATGTCAGTGATTGTGTTTAGTGTTGTGTTTATTTATTTAAATATATATATATATATATATATATATATAATGTTCTAATGATGTCTATTTATTGATTTAATCAAATGCAACAAAACTGTCTTAAAATGATCTTTATGTGCCGACATTTCTCAGCAAATACAATACTGTTTAAAAGTTTGAGGTTGGTAAGATTTTATGTTTTTGAAAGAAGACTCTTATGCTGCATTTAATTGATCAATACAAAAATACATTTAAAAGAGTTATATTGTGAACACATTTTCATCATCATTACTCCAGTCTTTAGTGTCACATGATCCTTCAGAAATGATTTTAATATACAGATTTGGTGCTTAAGAAACATTTATTATGATCATCATCATCATCATCAATTAAAGCTTAATATTTTTTTCATGATTTTTTGATGAATAGAAAGTTCAAAACAACATCCTTTATTTGAAATAGAATATTTTGTAACTAATGAAATAGAATATTTTGTAAATAATATTCATTTCTTTCAGAAGAAAATCTTACTGATCCCAAACCATTGAACAGTAGTGTATATATATATATATGTGTGATTAATGTAATTAATTTTAATAAAACTGTTTGTACTGATGTGTTCAATGACCTCACCTCTCTGAATATAAACTTCTGTTCTTCAGGCACAGGTTCCCTGGGTTTACTGCAGTGCTGCATGGTAAGAAATGTGGAAACCGGATCAGCTACGATACAGCCTGCAGGATCCCTCGTGTTATAACGGATCTCTTGGAGCGTTGAGTACTCAAAGAACTGTCACAAAACGAGAAAGGAAAATAATCACACATAGAAGCTCAACACATCAAATCTTAATCAAAGACAAATCCAAAAACAGCAACATCTGATAGAGGCGCACATACGGGTCAATCATGTTATGCAGTACATTTTGTCCCCATCATATAGTAACTTAATGTATTCGATTTAAAAAAAAAAGAAGTTTAAATATAAATTTTTAAATATATATTATATATATATATATATATATATATATTTTTTTTTTTTTTTTTAATAAACCTGGTGTCCTCCCTGATTCCTGTTCTTTCCGACAACAAACCAGTTTTCATAATGTAAAGAGGTGAAAACTACGGAGACACCATCTGTTTGCAGTGTTTAACCATATTAAAAGATGTATGAATGTATGAATTTGCATTTGTGGAGCAATCTGGATCTTTGGTTTGTCTAATTTGCAGATGAATTGCTTCTTTTAAAATCTCAAATCTGAAGACAAATTACCGTACAAAGCCCTCAACAAAACCATGCATTACCAGTAGTTGTATTAATAGGAAATATAGTGTTTAAATCACATTATTGTAATCAATAAAATTTTTGTTTTGTATAAGTGTATAAGTGTCAAAAGTTTGGAAACACTGAAATGCTTTTATATTTTTGAAAGAAGTCTCTTATCCTCACCAAAGCTGCATTTATTTAATCGAAAATACAGTTAAAATGGTAATATTGCGAAATATTACAAATTCAAAAAACAAATTCAAAACTTTGAAAAAGGGTGAAATAGTGAAATACTTTGAGTCTCAAAAGGATTTAAGGCTTAACAGGATTGACCCATATGTACTAAACCAGACAGAATCAGAAGAGCATTTCTCTCGTATTCACAGAGAGTCTTGCATTCACAACACTCTTGTATTCCATCAGAAGAGTGTTGTTGTGCTGTACACAGCTGATATTGTGCACTGATAAGTCTCCAGGGCTCATCTGCCTCCCCACAGAGAGGGAGGAGACGAAAGAAGTCACGCTGCTGTGCCAGGCGGCTAAAGTCACTTTAAAAACAAGCGTGCTGTGAAGTGCACAACACATTATTTACTGCGCCATATTAGAATGGCATTTTAATAATACATTACAGCTGTGAGAGACACTTCCATGCGTATTCCTGAGGATGCATTAAATCTCTGTGTATTGTTTTGAAGAAGTATATGTACTCTTTACTTCAATACATTTGTGATGAGTAATGCAATTACTCGTTACATTTGCATGTCACCTAACTTTTTCTAATCTACGGCAACAAAAAGGGCATCGAAGGTACTATATCTTGTGCGTTTTGCTCTTACTCACCCAAACTTGTCAGCATGGCTACTTTACACGAATATGTGTTTCATATAGGAGATGAGGAGCCCGCAAGTAGTCAAGTAACAGTAATTTATTTATCTGTTATACTGAAGGATATTTGTTTACTTATGCCCTTTTTGAGCCCTTGAGCTTGACTGAGACATGAGTGTTTATAGGCTGTTGTGTCGACCTTGATATATTGCAATTTTGAGGTGTTTAGTTTTATTTTGATTTTTAAAAAATGTGATGCACTCCTCACAAACCAGCAGTTTCTTGTTTTTCACTGGTATATTTTTTATTAGGTGTTGAGGACTAGTGCATTTTTGAGCCTACATTCAGTACTCTAAGTCGTACTGAAATTGGTGACTTGTAAGTCATTTTCGCTGTTAGGTATTTTTAAGAATGCTTTTCAGGTACTTTTTACACCTCTTGGAGCAGCACGGATGTCTGTCGTTACAGTTGAGAGAATGAAAGTTACCTGGTTTTGTCCCATGCCGTGACACGGGTAAA